ATTTTGATGAACGGTGTTGCCATGCTTACTAAAAATAGAAATTACTGTAAAATTCCTTGAAAATTAAAATTCCTCCTACAGTTTTAGTCTGATTTTAATATAACTTAGCACACACATAGACTATACAAAGATACATAATTTGATGAATTGGTTTTCGATTTTGATGGATGGTTTTGTCATGGTTGGTAAAAATAGAAATGTCTGTAAAATTCCTTTAAAACATTACTCCTGCTACAGTTTAGTTTGATTTCAATCTAATTTGGCACACAATTAGTCTACACTATCATACATAATAGTGTATATTGGTTTTTGATTTTAGTGAATGGTGTTGCCATGGTTACTAAAATAGAAATTTCTGTGAAATACTTTCAAAACGCTACTCCTCCTACAGTTTTTTTTTTATTTCAATATAACTTGGCACACAAGTAGACTACATTAAGATACATAATTCTATTGCTGCATGTTGCAAAGTTCAAATCCAAGTGCTACTTTTCCTTTGTTATACGAACTGACCAGTAGAGCTACAGTCTCAACAGAGACTTCTGGTTACATTCAGACTAATTCAAACTTTTTTAATATAAGAGACAATAACCTGCTTTTTTCTATGACTTTTATTTCTTTTTCATGTTAACAGTGTATTTACAAATTATTCCTGTACACACCAAAGTGTTGGTCTGATGTTGGCTGTGTGCCTTTTTATCTGAACAGGTACACTTGAAGTGACTATGTGCCAGCCATTTTCAGTCTTTGTAACAGGCTTTGGAGTGAAATGCCTATGCTGCAATGCAAAATTTATATAAATAAATACGAATTATTGTCTACCATTAGCGCCAATATTTACATGTGAGGATAATTCACGCTAAATACTGTAGATTCCTAAATATACGTGAGGAATAAATTATCGCGTAATTACGCGAGGAGCACCACTCGCGAAATAAAATTACTCGCTTTTATTTTATGGTGCTTTAATGTATGTAAAATCTCTAGATAAATCACCGATTTGCGAATTATTGTTCCCGCGATTTGACGCCCTTGGGCCATTTCGCGATATTAAGTACTCGCGTTAAATAAGGAATTTACAGTATGCGATTAGAAAGATTTCACTTAATTTTAAAAATATCCCGCCATGTACCATTGTCCAACAGGTTCATATATGTTTTATTCAGTTATTCTGGTATTGAGGAAATAACCATGAAGTGTAATGTATTTGGTACTGTTTCATGTAATTAACATGTAAATATCCACATTTACAGTATTTATTAAAATAAGAGGCCCCTGGGCAACAATGCTCACTTAAGTCACCCCCCTCCCCCCCCCCCCCCAGCCCTATTGTTCTAAACATTTTTTGCTGTATATTCCAATGTAAACTTACAACACCCTATTGTGGCCTCACCTTAGTCTTACGTGGGCATGCCTTCACCATAATTTGATTCAGACTACATCGGTTTGCTGAATATGCTGTGTTTAACAAAAAAGATTTTTTTCCTTTGTATTTTGTAAAACTTTGACCCCCTATTTACAGGTAAGCCTCATCCAGACCCCAAGGGCCATAATTTGAACAAACTTCAATCCACAATACATATTTCTAAATATAATTTTGAATGCAGGTAACTCTTGAATTTCAACCTCATCGTTAGTTTAAGTCAACAGTCTGAATGTCAACAGAAAAACATCTCGATTATCAAGCCATTGAAAGCCAAGGTATAAGACATGTTTAACAAAGCTATGGATAAAAAAAAAATAGTCACAGCTTTGTTTAAAGTGTTCATGGTGAGGGAATGCATGTACATGTATAGTATCGTTTATAGTGACTTTGCTTTTACGGAAATTTAAAGGCGTACAGTGAGTAAATGAGGCTGTACATGTATATTAGAAACACAGGAAAGGGCTTAAAAGGACAGTATAGCTGCTACCCAATCCAAAATTATATTAAATTAATATAATAAAAAATACTATCTGAACCACAGACTTACACATTTTAGAATGGTTTGGGGTGAGTAATATAATTTAGGATGTAGTGTTCTGGAGGACATCCACCTAGTGTAGAAGCCGTGTAGTTCAGGGTCTAGTTTCTTCCCATGATCCTTCATGAAATCCCCACTGATAATGTAGGAATCTGGTTGACTGTGTAATGCAGCATACAGCACAAATAAATCATCTATACCACTGGCTGTCTTCTTCCTCTCATCCCTACATTATAAAAACAAAACAGCTCTCAGCACAGGTGAGCTAAAAAGGTATGACAATACATATATTGACTGTGTTCTCAGGCAAACTGCATTTTGTCTACTCCTTGAACCAAACAGCCTCAGAAAAACAATTTGGTTCTTGGGTCTGACAAAACGCATGTTGCCCTCGAACTCAGTCAATAAATGTATATTATTAAAGGGGAACAAAAATTGTGAATCATGTGTATGGTCTTTGCCTCCCTTGGGCCAAAACCATCAAAATTAATGTAATCTTTGAGTTCAGAAGTTAATGAACAGACCCACTCAAAGAAGACTGACAACAATAGATAGCAATAGGTCCCAGAGTGACTGGAGTGAGCTAAAAACCCATGGCAATAGCTCTTTCTTACTGGTAAGCATGGTGAGCCTTAAATTTAAAAGGTTTACTGTCAAACATGATTCAAAATCATGCATACCTGCTATACCTCACTGGAAATCTTGTTATACTAGGATGTTCCAAAATATCACCAACTATTTGAAACAAAATATTCCTTCCGATGACCAACTTTTGACCAGGGAGCTCTCTGAGTAAAAAATCCTGCAAAATAAAAAAAAAAATCAGCTGGATTTAACTTGCTCTACAGTTTAAAGTTTAACCACTCCTTTGCAATAAAGTAGCATTTGAAACACCAATAAAGAATTATGTACCTAGTTTTGGTGTTAATTAAGTAAGGCATACTATTACTTATCCAGATATGATCACAGGTCTAAGGGGGATTTACCCTGATGTATGGAATACAACCCGAGGTAAATTCCTGTATACAAGCTGTACCTTCATGAGTGCTCCAGACTTCATCCGTTCTGCTTCTGTATAAGCATTGCCACCGGTGAATTTGTGCATTACCCACATTCCATCTACTACATAATCAAATTTTCCATGCCTTTTGAGGAATTGCAAAAAAGTCTGAAAAGTTTCACTGTGATGTTTGTTCAGAGTTTTGAAAATGGAGGCCTGAATCCTTTGTAAAGTTTTCTCACTAAAATGACATTGTCCAATCTTAGCCCCACAGTTCACACATGTTTGACTGAAAAAGACACCATGATAGAAAATTATTGGTTATCAAAAATGTTTTCTAAACTAATAACAAACAAAAATTCAGTCTTAAAAAAAGCCCAGAGAGCTTATTAATGGAAAAAAACCCCAGAAGTCTCTGAAAAGAATGTAGCTCTACTGATTTGTGCTTATAACAAAGAAGAAAAGTAACTCTTGAAGTTGAAACTATGGTAACATCAATAAACAGAATAATGATCCTTGGTTTAGTCTAATTGTGTGGCAAATATTATTGAAATCAGACCACAACTGTAGGAGGAGTAGCCTTTTGGCAGAATTTCACAGAAATGTTCAATATTGATAACCATGGCACCAAAGATTTAAAATCAAAAAATTGATAAACATGATTTTGGTATCTAAGTGCAGTTTATCTGTGACTAAGTTTTACTGAAAATTGGAACCAAAACTGTGGGAGAAGGAGCAATTTGAAAGAATTTCACAAAATGTTTTATTTTTAGTAACTGTGGCAACACTGTTTGTCAAAATTAATAAACTGATACACAGAATTATGTATCTTTGTAAAGTCTACATGTGTTCAAAGTCAGACAAAACTATAGGAGAAGTAGTGTTTTGAAAGAATTTTACAGATATTGTAAACTATATCAAGTTACCACTGGCTGTCTTCTTCTGGCAACAGCATTATAATTTTCCAGCTTTTGAATAAAGATATAAGTAACTAGTAGTAAGACTCAGTTGGCCATTTATTGCAAAATGTTAATTATAGATACCTTTGACACATGCAGACATTTGTCATCTTTGAAAATGTGCACCATTCATGACATGAACTTGAGATTTTTGAGAATAAGGTTGTCATAATTTGGGAATTGCAAGCAAAATTAATGCATATATCACTTAATTTTTTCTAGCTTTCTCTCAAATCTTGCACAACTCTAAATCAAGGCACTATAAAAAGACTATTCAATGAGTTTTAGATCTATAAGAAAGTCATAAGTATGATATGGTAGCACACTACTTTTATTATACATCAGAGACATATTATATGTCTCTGTATACATCTATATACTGGCTATGAGGACAATGGCAAAATTATTGTCCCCAAGATAGCAACCATTAAATTGAACGCTGCCAGTGAATAGTTTGTCGACTATTTCACCATGGGCAAATAGCACAAAAACTATTTCATGTTAGGGGCTGTTAAAAAAAAATAGCAGGATTATCCATCATATTTTTATATAGAAAAAATACACAGAGGTATAATAAACTGATATTATGTTACTTACTCTCTAGTCACAAAGCTCTCTGTTATCTTTGGCTGTTTTCCCTGTCTAAGAAAAAAAAAAGGAAATCAACGGGCATAATGGTCACCTGAGTATTATGAGTTTCTTAGTCCAGCCCCAACTCAGCCCCACCTTGAACTCTAGTCTCATGTATCTTTTATAATTTGAAGAGGACTCCGTGTACATGATGTACATCATCATATTCATGAAGCTTGACTCCTAGTTTAGATGCCAAAGATTGAAGAAGTTTTTTTAAAGTTACAATTCAATGTCTACATTTAATCAATATTTTTTTTTATTCTGTTTTATCAATCTTCCAAAGAACTAACTGGCAATGGGTAGGCTAAAAATTTCCAAAAACAAAATAATACAGGTTACACCATTTTAATTTTGAGAAGAAAGTAAAACAGTATTTAATAAAATGAACTCACATTATAAAAGCCTGCTTAAGATCTTCCACTCTGCTAGTTGATGGATAGTAGTGCTGTATTATACCTAGGAGTCTTAACGTATAGTCGACTGGCAGCTTGTCTGACTGGTGAAGGAGTCCTTCCCACAGTTTGTCCACCACACCAACAGTCAGGTTATCTTTGTATTGTCCAATCAGAGCCTCACTTACATCTCTGTCACCGTATCTAAAGGCGGCATTCACAATATGGTGGAGGTGATTGGCTATATTTATTGGGGTCACAGCTGCGATATTTTCTATGCTTTTATTGTAGTTTCTCACCAACTCGAGGCAATCTTTGTATTGACTTGTCATGCACAAAGGTTCAATCACCATTGCAAATGTAGAGCTGTCGGCATATATTATGTCGTCTTTTATTTCTCTATAACACTGTAATATTTGGTTTTCATCCACTTCGCTGGGACTAAGGCCTGTGAAAGAATTCATGTAACCCAGAATTAAGGACACTTTGAGCATTTTATTCATTTTCTTCTGTAAACGATATTTCATCCATTTTTCTGCAAACTCTGGATGTCTGGACTTTTTAGCCCAGGTGTTGACAAGGTGATCAAAGTGAATCAAAGCAGACATATTTCTTTTCCTGTCCTCTAGTTCAGAAAACATTTGAATGAGTGTTTCAAGCTCTTTCTGTCCAGGGTTTGTTGCCCATTGACACTCTTCTGGTCTCACTTCTTCATTGTCATCATATCGTGGCTTCATCCATCCATTTTTAAGAAAAGTTTCATGTGGGCGTATTTCATTCAGACATCTTACCCCCAGAATCCTACCCTGTGGATGGTTTCTGGGGACCCAGCGAGTCCAGACACCAAATCCGAATCTGCACAAGCTAGCTGCTACATTCATCCTTCTGGCAATCATTTTAGCACCCAGAATAAAAGTCACCTGTAAAGTTTAATATTACACAAAAAATATAATTTATTTCACATGTACATGAAAATAGTTGACATATTTCTTAGGGGACAAAGCATGATTTTTTGGAGGGAGAATTATCTTTTTAGATGGATTTCAGAGAAACATCTATAGCGGAACTTTTAGACCTCTACATACAAGTAAACTAGGTCACTTGGATCATCCAATAATATTCTTGCACATCTGCAATCTGAGCATCCCTTTACTAAAACAGAATATTAGATAACAAGTACTGTATACATGCAGGGTTATTTTCACCCTTTAACACATAAAAAAAATTTGCCCAAGTTTTAAATTTGCCCCAAAACAGCAGTGTTAAATAGATAATGCTGTCTTCTTGGAATTCTTCCCAGGGGGGCAAATTGGGTAAAAATAGAAAAACAGTGGCAAAATTTTCCCTGCATATTGTATTAAAAGTTCCTATTACATATTTTCATAAGGATTATATATGGATATGATGGAGCCCTAAAAATTCCAAATACTGTATATTTCATGGCATACATATAAATCATATGTAAAAAGAAGTATTTGTTTCCAATTAAAATATAGAAGAAATTCAAACAAGCTTATATTTTGTCCTTATTTTTAGCCCATGGGGACTATCTGGAGGCCAAAATTGAAGTTTCAAAACCTTATTGCACATAGATCAAGCCTATTATATGTGAAAATATATTTTGAATTCATTGATCGTGTTGATATTCATTTGAATTACTGTAAATATACTTATTTCCACCAGGTCATATTTCAATTGAATGACAATTTCTGTTCCATTCACAGGCAGAAAATTCATATGCAAATTTCTTGGATCCTTTGTATATCTTAAATGCACTTTAAGTAGACAAATTTCAACAGAAAATTTGTGCCTGCATACATAGAGTGTAAATTAAAAATCCCATGCAGAAAAAAAGTACATCTAGGTACAGTATTTTATCCAAAAAAAAAAGTTCTTAGGCCATCCTTAAAAAGTTGTTTGTTTGGAATTGTCGCCTGGGAGGTTTCAGACACAGGAGGGAAGGAGGGAAATTTTTTTATTTTTCAAAATTAAATTTAAATTAAAAATTGATGATAAAAATCTCAATAAGGAATGAACACATAATTTTTTGCCTTTTTGTAAAGGGTATCCCACATCAACCAGGAACCCAGTTTTGCTTAGATCCTACACTTATTAAGTGATTGGGTGGCACATGTGGTAACAGGCCAAGAATTGACTGAATAAAAAAAAAATCTTATTTTTGGTCAATAAAATTTTTCCAGGAGGGGTCATTTTAATGAGGTGGGAGGCAATTCCAACAAAAAATAATTTTATTTTGGCCTAATAGTGCATGTCTTGAGCAATCAAGTATATATTTAGAGCATCGTTTTGGAAGTTTGTTATAAGAAAGCAGCAGGACACTTTAAAACTTGACACAACTGAAATATGTATGGCAAAAAAATTACATCTTTCCTTCCTTTTTCTATTTTTCTTTTGTTTTTTGTTTTTCTTTAATTTATAAAAGACAAAGACAATAACATAAGGCTTGATTTCTCATGAATTTCACATATTAACTAAGAGAGATTTAGCCTAAAATACATGAATAAATATTATTTTTCTAATTATATATTTATTCCATACTTACGATCCTCCCAAGGAGTAAAAAGAAAACAATATTTCATGTACTCACCTTTGAATTTCTCCTTGTTTTACTGCTGACATGAGTAAGATGATGATTCCCTATATTAGATCTGTACTTCTTCTACAATAAAAATTTTAGAAATATATTTAAAGTTGTCAACAAGTGACCAGTTAACCTGGTATTCAATATTCACCAGAAGGCCCCATTACTGGTACATACACATGTACCATGTATCTATTAATTGGTACTTCGACAATTTATTGAACAAAAAAAGGAGAGAAAAAATTCACATAATACTACAAAAACTTCTTAAATTCAAACAAAACTTTAGCATAAACAAATCAAAGAACTTAATGGGTGTTTGTATAGCAATTATAATATAATATAGCAATTAGACTATTGAAGGCTTCTTTATTACTTTATATGTACATAATATTCAACTACATGTATCACCTGCATATTGTATTTATTTCTACAAACTGATTTGGTACTCAAAGGCATATTCTGAGTATGATCAATTTTTTTTATCGTAGGCAAGATGCTAACAAAGAAGTTGATGTTACAGGGCTTTCAACATTCTAAATGAATATTAGCAATTCTCAAATTCTTTCGTCGTTATTGTGAATTTTTACAAACACATCCTACCACTGAGGTGTATCTTGACTGATATGTTTCATATCAATTGTTAAGCCATTTTTTATATTCTAATTTTGACTTTAGATTACTCTGTTTACCTGATCAATGAGGAAGGCTCACGGCAGGTGTAACTGATTGGCAGGGAAGACACTTACTCCTCCTAGGCATCTGATCCCACCTCTGGTATTTCCAGGGATCTCCGTTTTTGCCCTGTTTACAATTCATAGTTTACAGGATTTAAGAGGTTTATGAGATTCGTCACTGTTTATTTTATTTATATCACGTCAGGGACCTATATATATCAGCGTTTTTTTCCCTTATATAACTGGTACCAATAAACGGTACCATTCCCAATGCCAAAAAATGTTAATTTTTCCCAATTTTGAGACCAAAATTTCCCAATTCAACTGCCAAGCAACAAACTACAATGACATCGTATATCTTTTTAAATGAAACATTGTATTGTCATACATTTTGCGAAATTGAAAGCATGAAAATGTGAAAACAAGGGACATTGATATGAAAAACAATAAATACATGTTGTTTATTCTTTGAAACACAGAGTATTAGGTAATGAGGTTGGAATAAATGCAAAATACATTTCATTTGTTTAAATGACGGAAAATTCTCTTTTTTCTACTTCGATGCTATTTTTCTCAATTGAACTGGTACTGGACCCTTTCCCATTGGGTAGAAAAAAATCACTGTATATAGTATATAGGTCCCTGATCACGTGACAGGCCACTATTACCTGGTAATTTCTTTCATGTAAATATGTTATGTAAGCATGAACACTTTAAAAAATCAAGAAATCAAAATTTGCATAAAAGCATAAAGCAAGAAATCAAAATTTTGTGCTCACTGTGGAAATTGTACGTCTCTGTAAAAATGTATTCCTTCAATTTGTCTACAAAGTTCTGAATACTGTAGTAAAAGCAGTGACTGAGTATGCTAATCTAACTACTGTCTACCTGACTGTATGTACAGTGTTATTCATGTTTATGTAATTTTTTTTTTAAATCAGTAAAAGTTGCCATCAAAGAATTTACTACGTTTTATACTGTACAGGAAAACTGAACTTTCATTTAATTTAAATAACATTTTTTAAATGTTATACGTACCTAGACTGGCATATCATATGGTACGTTTAGTCACGATTCGTGTTTCTTTGTGAATATAACACGATATCCCTGATCAGTAACTTTGACACACGAGGTATCTATTTTCAGTTGGGTTCGGTCCTGCGAACAATTTTCATCCCGATCCCGATAATAAATAAGTCACATGACAAACTTGAGTTGCGTAAATTAGTCACACAATCAATTTTGTGTGTGAACGTTCAAAACATGTTCCAGTACCTGGTACTTTTATTGCTTTTTGGTCTTACCTATTCAGATAATGCCATACCAGAACAGATACATCTCTCCTATGGCCGTAAGTATCGATAGAACTTTAATTAACACTTACAGCTGTAAAAATGAAAGTAAACAGGTAAACTCAACTGTTAACATCATGATTATTCTTTGCTATGACAATACATAATTTACCTGTTTTTGTCAATTAATGTATAATATTCAAATCTACAATGCTCATACTAATTAATTTTTTTGTATATAAAAAAATCTTTTTAATAAAGACTGTAGCAAAAAAAAAAAAAAGCCTTAAAAAAGTTTAACAGGTCCAGTCCAAAGACCATTTCTAACTACGTAGCTATTAATAGCTACCTAGGTATTTAAAGCTACTTGAAGTAGCTACTTTTACCTATCCTTACCTATCTTTGAAAATAGAAATAAATAATATTTAACCTTAAAACTATATATGGCATATCTGAGCTAAAAAATAAAAATACGAGTTTGAATGTAGATAAACATGATATATGTTATTTACAATCAAATTAAAATTTTCACTGATTTGGACTTGAATAATCTCATGTGTCCATAGTTAAACTGATTTTAAACCGTGTCCGTAATTAGATGCGGAATCGGTATAAATAAATCGGTTATTGTTTTAAATTTCTTATATCTTTGAAACGTGATTGATTTAAATTGGGTGATCTACAGGAAAGTCCTACCTTTATCTAAAGTAATAAAACAAATAGAAAGATCTTTTTAATTTTAGTTAGTCTGAATTTGTAAAAAAAAAAAAAAATACGCCATATATGACTTTAATTATTAAGGAACATCTATAAAACTGGTCAGACTTGTTGTTTATCATGTTGTGCACCGGCACAACAAAATTTGGAAACTTTACAAGGGTAGAAAATGGAGAGGAAATATGAAAAAATAGGAAATCGTCCCAAAAACCTTTTATCTATGAATGTATGAAGTTTTAAAATTTGTACAGATTACAGATTTGTAAGACATTTTAGGCTTCTTACCACTTAGCTTTGATCTTTATCTCCTAGACAATGAAACTGGTTGTAGTTATTGATGCAAAATTGATAATATAGAAAGTAATCCTTTTTTGGCCAAAATTTTTGCTGTATTCATCGTCAGTTTGACTTTATCAAGAAATTTGGTACTCACCATATTTGTTTGGTCAAGAAATGCATTTTATAATTTAGAAAAATATATTATAGATATATATATTGACAAATACATGTATTGTAAACACAAGACATCCTCATTTGAACTAATAGGAGATTCAACACAGATGTATGTTACATGGAGCACAATGAATGTTACCCAGAATGCTACCTGTCTATATGGAGTAGCGACCCTCTCTCAAAAGGTCAAAGGCAGTACAACAAAGTTTGTGGATGGAGGCCCAGAGCAGCACACCCAGTACATACACAGAGTCCTGTTGACAAATCTGCAGCCTGGCAAGAAGCACAGTGAGTTCAAGTCTCTCAATACATAAAAATTTACTCCTTCCATGACACTTGAACCCACCTCTGATGTTTCCAGGGATCTGTGTTTGCTCTCCTCTCAGTTTGCAACATTTAATTGAATTTTTGAGCTCAATTTCTGTTTATTGTTTTATCTTCACATTTCATCTTAGTGTTCTGATTGTCAAAATTTTTTTTTTATCAATTAATTGTTGTGTTTCTCTTTTAGTGTATCAATGTGGAAATGGGAAAACCTTCAGTAAAGTGTTCACCTTTAAAGCTCTTCCCATGGGTTCTGATATAGGAGTACGTGTAGCTCTGTTTGGAGACATGGGAAGTGTAAATGCACAGTCTTTACCGAGGCTCCTTAAAGATGTTCAAAATGATATGTATGATGCCATTTTCCATGTTGGTAAGATGGTCATTTTTTTTTTATATATTTAAAGACATAATGCTACTGTTGGAGTGTTGGAATGAATTTAAGAATTAAATAGCAGATCTTTTTTTACTATAATATTATAAATACACTTCTGTAATTACAACTTTTGTATATATTTTTAAAAAAAATTACAGGAATGACATTTATTGACAATGAAGAAGTTGTGATTGTGAATGACTATGTCCCTTACAACGATGCAAGTGCAATATACTTAGCTGCAACTTTGACCTTTGATTCTTATCAGTGACATGAAAATTGTATAGACCTTGACCTACAAGGTCAAAATTTGACAATATTTTCTATCTTTTGAAGTTCAAACGAAGCTATGACCAATTTAAATGTTACAGGCAAACAGAAAATGAATTATATAAAGATAAGGAACAGTAATAAATTTCAAAAAAAGCCACAAACAATACAAATCTGTAAACAGGACACAAAACAAGGACCCCTGGAAATTACAGAGGTGGGATCAGGTGCCTAAGAGGAGTAAACATCTCAGGAGATAATTCAGACACAGAGACAGGCTGACAATAAAATGATATCATATGTCTGCTAATCTTCAATCTTAAAAACATGAATAAAAAACCTGGTCTGAAACCCAACCCCCAACCTCCAACCCCCCCCCCCCCCCAGCTATGGCAATATATGTTTGACTGACGATTTGAAGACTTCTTTAGTTTCCTCCCATAATGCAGCTTCCTAGTCATCTGAGCTCTTCTTTTCCTTCCTTTTTGAGATAGTCTAGGAAAAAAGGGGAAGAAAATCTGTTGATGAGATAAAAATTCTCTTCCAACATCCTTCTTCCTCAGATCATTGACTGCAACTTCGGTATCAACTTTATTTCCTGTTAATTTAATTTAATTGTCCCTATTGAATTTTCTTTTTGTTTCAGTGAAAAATTGCCCCTGCATTGATTTTCCTGTAGTGCCTTATCTTTGCAGCAGACTTATCTTGGGTTTTTCTCTGTGTTATCTTATATCATAGCTGAGATGTTTTGTTTCCTCTTTGTAGCTGATATCCCCATTATCTTTTTGGCATAAATTTTTTTTTGCCTTATTTACATGTGAATGATCATCCCCAAACAAACAGTTTCCATATGACATAGCTTCACACAAATTTGAAATGAAGAAAAATTAGACCTGACTTTAGTCATGGGTTCACAAGTTTCTAATTCTAAAGGTCTTGAATATGGTAAATTCCAGCAGACAATGCTGCATCAGGATGTCATACTTGGAACAAAGATTGCTCATGATCAAGAAATCTGTCATTATTCTGAGCTATATGCTTATAAATGATATGGTGAAGGTAACATGACTCAGAAGTTAAATGTTCTTTGGGCGTTGACATATTTCAACAAAATTCAGGCCTTGTGAAGTTGAATTATAATATACAAGATGACGAAGTTCTTTTTAAAGTTGTTCTAAAGTATGATAAATGATGCTCTTTCTTTAGTTGACCTTTGGCGAGTACATGTATTAGTCATTATATTGGGACAGTTCTAGTTAGGGTAGCTATGACCACAGAGTACAGTCAAGATGCTTTTGTTCCCAAGCTAATTATCCAGATTAATGAAGCATCCGGATTAATGAAATGGACTTGTTATGATTGATAGACGTCATTGTTAATGTTATCTAGAGGGTGAAGTGTCCGGATTATTGGCGTCCGGATTAATGAGGTTCCAATGAGGGTATTTCATAACCCTGAATAATAACTAAAAGATAATTCAGACAAAGTTACAGGAATATGCAGTGTAATGCATGTGCAGACAACCTGTTAAATTTTAAAGTAAGCACTGATTTTGTTTGATTATTTTAACTTTTTTAATTTTACTAATTTTCAAACTTTTATTCTTACAGGTGATTTTGCTTATGATATGGACTCTGTAAGTAATTTGAATACTAATTCAAATTCAAAATATTTTCGATATACAAAGAATTATTTTACAAAAAACATAAAATTCTTAACATCAGTCAAAGTGTTTTACTAGTTTGTTGAAATCAGTTGTACTTTTAATTTCAACAGGACAATGGCAAAAATGGTGATGTATTTCTACGAGCGATTGAACCAATAGCTGCATCTGTTCCATATATGACTTGCCCTGGAAACCATGAAAACAAATAGTCAGTATCCATTCATCATACTTTGAAGTACAGAATTGAAACACAGCATTTGGCTTTATAATAATAAATTTTACGGGATTTTGCTTAGTGTACTATTTGAAATTGTTATTTCCAAGTTAGATTTCCAAAAGTGTTTTGGTTTAATTTGAGATTATGATTTGATATTGTGCATATTGATTTAAAGTTAGAGATTCTGTATAATTTTTAAAAGAGTTTAATTCACTTTCTATAGTTGAGCATTGCAAAGGGAGATGATGCTTACAAAATTTAGAGAGGAAAAAAAAATCACAGTTCTATGTTTAAGAACACAGACTGGTCAGTGTGGATGTACAAGTTGGGGTGGGTTTAGGAAACCATAATTCGAGCTTGTGACCTCACACATTTTGTTTGTAAATTTATTAAAAACCAAATTAGAGGGGGCTTGTAGTTGCTTATGTGTTTGGTATATATAGGTTTCATAATGAATGCAGGTGCTGTTAGGCCAAGATAAATAAAAAGTGTGATTCCTATTCCAACCCAAGAAAAAATAGGGTAGGTAGGAAGGAAACATTTTTATTTTATTTTAACATTGAATTTTAACTAATAAAGTTAAAATTCAACTTTGACAATAAACAAAATGAGAAAAACAAAGAGTTCATTTCTTTTTCCAAAAAGGGTGCTTAATAATGGCATTTCTGTTTAATTAGTATACTAGGATATGCATTTTAATTAGTATACTAGGATATGCATTTTCTCAAACACCGAAGTGATCGAGATTAGGATTTCAAATAGTGAAAATGGAAGTGTTTACTTCTGGAAAGATATTGGCTGAAAAATTTTTCAGGGTCAGCTCATATATTTTAGGGTCGGTTGGGGAACTGGAAACACACAATTTATTTATCTAGGCCTTATGGCAGCTTTATATCCTTGATCTTTTAGATTTATTTCAAGAAGAAACATTATATTAGAACAAACATCTCTAGTTATTTTTGCTTTTCTCCTTGCAGCAACTTTTCAAACTACAAGAACAGGTTTACTATGCCAGGAGATGAGCAGAGAAATCTAATGTATTACAGGTGAATAATTTAGAGAAAACTAATTTCAGAGAGTACTGTAAAAGCAGAAATATTTGTTGGGGATTAAATTTCGTTTGTTTCATTGTTAGAAATGCATATATTCAACCCTATGCAGAGAAAATACCTAATAGAGATAAAAAGTAATTTTAAAAGGTTTCTGGAATGAATAACAAATTTCATTTAAAGGGAAACAGTCTGCAGTGCTGATATCATTGATATGCAGGTAAATCTGAATACATTTTTAGCTCTTCTGAGCCAAAGGCTCAAAGAGCTAATGCTATGGCCATTTGTGCGGTGTGCGGTGTGCGTAAACTTTTTAGAATATGGGCCATAACTCAAGAACCCCTTGGCCAATTATTGTCAAATTTGTCACAGGGTATCCTTGGCCCAAGGGCTCCCTTTTATACTAAAACTGGGGTTGTGACCCTTTAACAAGGGGAGATAATTAGGAAAATAGAAACAAAAGCACTGGTTGCTAAAAAATCTTCTTCTCGAGAACCACTGGGCAGATTATCACCAAACTTACACAAAAGGATGAGGATATGTTGTAGATTAAAATTTGCACGGGGATTTACCCTGGGGCAAAGGGCGTGGTCTCAAGGTCACTTCAAAGTTGACAAAAAATTACATTTTATTAAAATGTTGATATTTTGCTTACTATAAGGACTAGGACCATCAAATCTTGTCAGTTGGTGCATCTAAGGACCTCATATCATGTTGACTCAAAAGTAGGTCACGGTGACCTACTTTTTAAATTTTGCGGCCATTCTTTTTCAAAATGATTAAGAGGCATATTTTGAACAATTTAAGGCCTATGATCATCAAACTTTGTCAGTTGATGCATCTTGGGTCCTCAAAGTACGTCAACTAAAAAGTAGGTCACCTTGACCTACTTTTTGAATTTTATGGCTAATCTTTTTTAAAACAATTAAGGTCATTAATTCGAATACGGGGAGGCTTAGAATCATTAAATCTTGTAAGATGATGCATCTTGGGGCCATAAAACATATTTATTAAAAAGTAGGTCACAGTGACCTACTTTTTGAACTTTGCAGGCATTCGATTTCAAAGCATTTTAGAGGCATAATTTGGACATTTTAAGTCCTATGATCATAAAACTTTGTAAGTTGATGCATCTTGGGTCCTCAAAAAATGTCAACTGAAAAGTAGGTCACCGTGACCTACTTTTCAATTTATATGACTATAATTAAATATTTCAGGTACTAATTGGCTTAGAATCCTAAAACTTTGTCAGTTGATGCATCTTGGGTCTTCGGAGTAGGTCGACTAAAAAGTAGGTCACAGTGACCTACTTTTGAAAATTTATGGCGTTAATTAAATATTTTGGGTACTAATTGGCTTAGAATCATCAAACTTTGTCAGTTGATGCCTCTTGGGTCTTCAGAGTAGGTCGACTAAAAAGTAGGTCACCGTGACCTACTTTTGAAAATTTATGGCGTTAATTAAATATTTTGGGTACTAATTGGCTTAGAATCATCAAACTTTGTCAGTTGATGCCTCTTGGGTCTTCAGAGTAGGTCGACTAAAAAGTAGGTCACCGTGACCTACTTTTGAAAATTTATGGCTCTAATTAAATATTTTCGGGTACTAATTGGCTTAGAATCATCAAACTTTGTCAGTTGATGCCTCATGGGTTTTCGGAGTAGGTCGACTAAAAAGTAGGTCACCATGACATACTTTCGGAAAATTTATGGCTTTAATAAAATATTTTGGGTACTAATTGGCTTAGAATCATAAAACTTTGTCAGTTTAAGCGTCATGGGTCCTCGGAGTATAACAACTGAAAAGTAGGTCACAGTGACCTACTTATGAAAATTTATGGCTTTAGTCAAATAATTGGCTTAGAATCTTTAAACTTTGTCAGTTGATGCGTCTTGGGTCCTCGGAGTACAACAACTGAAAAGTAAGTCACCGTGACCTACTTTTGAAATTTTATGGCTGTATTTAATATTTTCAGGAATTATTTGACTTAGAGTCGTCAAAATTTGTCAGTTGATGCATCTTTGGTCCTCGGAGTAGGTCGACTGAAAAGTAGGTCACCGTGACCTACTTTTGAAAATTTATGGCTGTAATTAAATATTTTGGGTACTTATTGGCTAGAATCATCAAACTTTGTCAGTCGATGTATCTTTGGTCCTCGGAGTACAGCAACTGAAAAGTAGGTCACGGTGACCTACTTTTGAAAATTTATGGCTTTAATTAAATATTACAGGTACTAATTGGCTTAGAATCATCAAACTTTTGCATCTTGGGTCCTTGGAGTAAAACAATTGAAAAGTAGGTCACTTTGACCTTCTTATAAAATTTTATGGTTATAATTTTAAAAAATATTTTAGGTATTAATTGGCTTAGAATCATCAAACTTAGTTGATGGGTCTTCAGAGAATGACAAGTGATAAGTAGGTCACCATGACCAACTCTCAGGTACTAATTGGCTTAGAATCATCTTGGGTTCTCAGAGTGTGAATTGGAATTTCAAGGGTTTATCTAAATATACAGGATACTTCGAGGCTTCAAATAGAAGTGATAGGTTGTACAGTTTATCAGAAGAGCGATTCAAGGCCCATGGGCCTCTTGTTGAAAAATAACACAAACCACCATATCAATAGAGTTTAAACTTGACTGAAGTCATAATATGTCTTGTTGGTAATAAAACTAGAAAAAAGTGTATATCTATACTTATGAATACAACAATCTGAAACTTCTAATGAGAATTAATTAATATAAAATTCAAATCTGGACATCATTTGATAGCATTATCTCTAAGGTGCCTTAATTCTTCTTCTTTTTTAATAAATAAAGAAATAGAAAACAAGTAGATAAAAAAACTAAGAAATCATAGTCTAAGAATAAAAATAGAATATAACTGAATATTATAGTAAAAGATGTAAATTTTTTTTATCTGGAAAATTGTGAATAAAAATGAAAAAAATGTTAAATGAAAATTTACTTTTCTGTTGTACAGTAGAAATTTTGTATAGTATTTTGACCTTGTTAATATCCTAGATCTGTAAGAAATTTGATCAAAAATAATTTATATACCTGAAGAAAATTTTGTATGAACATTTATCACAGTAATACCGGTACACAGAACTACCTATTGCAATCTTTACTGTAGCACTACTTGTATACATGTATAAGACTATTATAAATAAAATAGTAGGTTAGAATAATTGAATGGTGATTTATAGTATTCATTTCAGCTTCAGACCTAAAGTATCATAGAAATAAGTTGTTTTTTTTTTTTAAAAAGTGCTAGTGCCAAGATATTTTGTTTTTGGATACTGGATAATAGGATTATGTAGTCAGATAAGTGACTTTTTTTCAAATAAATGTCATCCAGAATGAACCATGCTTTATAGAATGTCTCCTTTTAATGATGTTTATAATTCTTCATCTTTAGAAGTTATTTTGCTTGAGAAATTATTGAAAATGTGATACCTGGTATACTTTTTTTGGTAGCTTTAACATGGGACCTATGCATGTCATTTCCATTAGCACCGAGTATTTCTTCTTCATCAATTATGGAATCATGCAGCCTATCCACATGTATGAATGGCTAGAGAAGGATCTCCAGGTTTGTTCTGCGTTTTACCTTACTAATCAGTTCCAGTCTCTTATAGTGTGCATTAACTTTTCTCATTTTTTAAAAACTTTTTCTCTAGAACTACTTGGCCATAAATGATATAAATCTTTGATTAAACTTTTTTTGAAACTATGCATCCCTGGAGCCAGGTGAGGACATGGAATCTTTAAGTTTTTAAGTCATAGGTACATTTATAAAATCTTCTCAGGTGATTATTCTTTGACTGTTTGAATGTCCTCTATCTGCTAGTTGAGTTTTATAATCCTGTAAGTTTTCCAACAATCTGTCGGAATTCCCGGGTACTAATTATGCTCCTTTATTATAGACCTATTTTTATATTCATGTGAAGCAGAATTTATTCAATATATTGTTAGGCCATTATTTACACACTAAAATGTCTGCTGTTTTTTTTCCATTTGCTCAATCATGACAAGGAACACATGGTGGGTGTGAACGGTCAACAGGGGATGCTTACTCCTCCATGGCACCTGATCCCACCTCTGATGCTTTTAGAGGTCCTTGTTTGCTCTGCTCCTGATTTGTATTGTTTCAATGGACTTATGAGCTTGATTACTGTTTTTCTATTTTCTAGATTTCTTTACACCCCCCCCCCCCCCCCCTTCCATCAAAAGTTCGATAGATGGAGTCTTAATGACTTTAAATGTCTTTTGTAAACCTATAGGGTTTAGAACAGACATTTTATTTGAACATTTTAGACTTGGACTATATTCATATCCGAATCATTTTAGTTATTAATAGTGAACTTAGTAGTTACAGTAAAATAAAATAAAAGGTTATTAAACAAGGATATACATTATTAGTGTGCCACATACAGTGACTTTATAATTGGATAAGGGACTTTATGTTCATGAACTATAATTATCTTGTTAGAACAAATTGGATTTTTTTGTTGGTACAATGAACTATTATTTTGTAAATCATTTTGTAATGGAATTGATCAGAATAGACCAGTCAAGTCCATCGATACTAAGTAATAAAATTTGAATGGGAATGCAAATTTACTGTCAAGATTCTTGACCAAGAGTAATAAAATGGGAACTTTGAAATAGATAAGTAAAAGAGCTTAGGGCTAGAACTCCTGTGGTGCAGAGATGGGGACGGAGTTCATAAATATTATTAAAGTAGGTATACCTGGATTGGAGGGTGGTGCCATGTTGGGGTTCATAGGTCAATGGACAGACCTACGGACAAAGCGTAGGTGGCATGGCAATGAGCCAATGAAAAGTATTTTTATATCTGGGACCATGAATACTCTATGAGCACAATATACCCTGTTTTGCCGAAAAATGTCTCTCTATTCTTTGACTCTTTTGGAATTTTTTTTGGACTCTAATTTTTTGGACCTCACCTTACTTATTACTTTTGGAGTTTTAATTCTATGCTCTTCTTAAATATTTGGGACGGATCTTTAAAACATTTGCTACAACCAGCTTATTGGTCTATTCTGGTGAAATTTCAGAAACAAGCATTTAAAAATCTATACGATCACGGTAGTTTAATAAACTTTTTTAAAAAACTTACAAAGTTTGTCATTGGCTTACACTTTCTATTTGTCTCTTTTAGACGTTTGGGAATTTATATTAATTTGGAATTACTTGTATTGAATATGGCCTACTATTCAATACATCTTGAATCTTACATTTTGATAAGTAGTACATACTTTAAATGTACATGTTGTGATAAGTACTTTTGTATTACAGGAAGCCAGCAAACCTGAAAACCGAGCCAAGCAGCCCTGGATCATGGCCATGGGACACAGGCCAATGTACTGCTCCAATAATGACCATGATGACTGTACCCACCATGAATCACTGGTAGGTTCACCATGAGAAGTGGTAACCATGCACTGTAACTTTATCATGAATCACTGGTAGGTTCACAATGAGAAGTGGTAACCATGCATTGTAACTTTATTTACCATGAATCACTGGTAGGTTCACAATGAGAAGTGGTAACCATGCATTGTAACTTTATTTATCATGAATCACTGGTAGGTTCACAATGAGAAGTGGTAAACCATGCACTGTAACTTTATTTATCATGAATCACTGGTAGGTTCACAATGAGAAGTGGTAAACCATGCACTGTAACTTTATTTATCATGAATCACTGGTAGGTTCACAATGAGAAGTGGTAAACCATGCACTGTAACTTTATCATGAATCACTGGTAGGTTTACAATGAGAAGTGGTAAACCATGCACTGTAACTTTATCATGAAGTAGGTTTACAATGAGAAGTGGTAACCATGCTCTGTAACATCACTGATACATGTAGGCCAACAATGTAAACTTGTTTGACCAGTAGATACATGTACATGTAGGCCCAGAGCTCCAGATAATTTTTTTGCCCAAAGTGTATTTACTCCCTGATTTTCAAATCAATGAAGATTTTATTATTCAGCAAAATGATTTAAGAGTATTTTGTTAATTTATTAATGTTTTGACATCCATTGTAATTTTGAGATTGTTACCGAAATCAAGGTATTTTAAAAGAGGAAAGATAAAACAAAAACAGTTCCTGGATTAATTTAAATAAAATTTTAAAAATGCCAACAAGATTTTTGCTATGTCTGAGAAACTTTTTTTTTTGACATGGAAGATCATACAGTAGGTAAAGTAACCATAGACACATAAATTTTTTCTCCATTTAAGATGATATCGTAGCAAGTCAAGAGTAAACCGAGAAAAAAAATAACGAGAGAAATCAGAAATTGTCAAAAGCCATCATAATAATAGAGACCTCAAGAGAATCTAAGAGAACTCTTAATCATTAAATTCAAATACATATTATGCCTAATGTCTCTCTACAGCAGTGTATTTAATTGGTCTTGAATTTAAACAGAGCTCGTTTTTTTTTTTTTCGATATGATTTTAATATGGTCTTCACTGTTTTTTTACACATAGTGTACTCTTTGATAACATTGCAGTATAAACTTTTTTTCTCCGGCAAAGACTCTTTTTTTCTCCAATATAAGCCATTGTTTTCTAACATTGTTTTCTATTACTTATACGCTTGTTACAATATCGTCTTACATAGACGACACAAGCTTTTGTGTGCTTCAAAGTAACTATGCCTAGTGCATAGTCTTTCTATATAAGAAATCAATTTTGATTAAAATCATTGAATTCTTTCTTCCGAACTGAAATCCGTCGTCGCCATAACTTAGAATAGTCCTAGTTATTGAAAAGCTTTTAAATCATTATTTCGTTACGAAAAAAAAATAAACACTGAGCTAACCTCAATTCATCAATCTCCTTTGCAGAGTTGTCGTTCGTTTCTCTCTCAGACACCTCTGCGATGGGCTCACGTCAAGATTTTTGACATAACGTAAAAAACATGACATTCCAAGGATTATTTCAAATTAAACTAATAGTTCTAGATATACTTAGTAAATATCTACATTAAAAGAGAAACATTAGTACAGGCATTTAATTATAATGAATTTAATTAAACGCACTATTTCTCGTGCTTATCACTGTGATATAAGAGGTGAATGTATGAGCCGATGGTAGTGTCAATTCATATCATTAGCTGAGTCGTACTTGTATTATTCAATCCGCCATACGCAGTATTTTCGTAGTGTAATGCTTATTTACGATTGCTAATGCGTAACTGTATGCCCAGTTTTAATTTTCAATGCATATTTTGTAAAATTCAATGCGTATTTCTGCAAATACGCACCTTATCTGGAGCTCTGAGGCCAACAGTGTAAACTTGTTTGACCACTAGAACTGCATTCACCATAGATATCTGGTAGGCTCACATGTAAACTTTTGGTACCACACTAACTGTATTTACCACAATTCACTAGTAAGCTGACAATGTAGACATGTGCAAACTGCTGTAACAGTACTGACTAGGGTTATGTCCAGTTTAAAATTGTAGTGACCCCCATTATTGCATTTGCTATGAATCATAAATGGGCTTTCAATGTAGTCTGGTTTTAATCCTTATTAAACAGAGTAAAAAAACTGGTAGATGTTGCAATTTGTCCAAAAAAAAAATTAAAAAACAAACAAACAAACAAAAACAGCATGCAAAAAAAAACCCAAACAAATAAAATCCACTGATTTCATCTTGTAGGAATATCTTTAAGTTCATTTTGAAGCAAACTTTCTTATTTTGCCAATTTAGAAGGCTTTGATGATGAAAAAAATATTTATGGTATCATGCATTGTACATGTAGGTGCGTATAGGGATTCCTTTCATTCATGTCCTTGGTATGGAGAAAGTCATGTACAAGTACGGGGTGGACATCATGTTCTGGGCGCATGAACACTCTTATGAACGCCTCTGGCCGGTATACAACAGAAAAGTGAGTAGAACAGATCAATAGACTCCATGTAATGTAAATGTTTAAATTATTTACATTTTGCTTTGCGACATGTTTTTTTGAAGATCAAGTGACCCATTTCATTAAACTTAGCATAGGCAGGTGATGAAACTAATAATTTATTGCTGCAACATAGATTTAATATATTTGCTTCAAAATGAGATTATAAACATTCAGAAGGGATATATGAGCAGTTTACAAGTATTTTTACTTAGTTTAACAGAATTTTGTTTAAAGTGTGCAATAGAATTTACAAATTGTGTAGTTAAAGATTACACTTGCTAAGTGTGTAAGTATTTTGTTTGAAGGTTTACAATGGAAGTTTAGCAGCACCATACACAAACCCAAAGGCACCGGTGCATGTCATTACAGGATCTGCGGTAAGTATTCCAACAGCCGTTACAGATCTTGAATTTCTTATCTGACAAATACCGTATACAGGGAAATTTTCGCTCCTTAAGTTCTTGTCATCAGTGGGCAAATTCAAAACAAGATTTATTCAAAAACAAAGTTATCTCTCTTTTAACACTTCTGTGTCTGCGAGAATTTAAAGGAGGTGAAATAATTCATGTGGGAAAGGGGGAAATTAACTTGGGGCAAATGGCCAAAAAAAAAAAAAAAAAAAAAAAAATGGGGCGAAAATAACCCTGTATACAGTATGCTGAAACTAATATTTAAATGAATTTTAATGGTTCTGCAAACAGGGATGCAGTGAGAAGCATGATCCTTTCCGAAACAATACAGCCGAGTGGTCTGCCTTTAGGAGTACAGATTATGGCTACACTCGTATGAATGTGTACAATGCTACTCATTTGTATGTGGAACAGGTGTCAGATGATAAGGTCAGTTTATCTTTTTTAAAGATACTGATGAACTGGACTCTCCCTCTCTCTCTCTCTCTCTCTCTCTATATATATATTTATACATGTATGTATATGTATATATTGATATATATTTTTATTTACTTGGTTTCTAGTATTTCTTCTTAAATATGTTGTTGTTTTATTTTCAGGATGGAAAAATTATAGATAGTTTTATGCTGATCAAAGATAAACATGGACCATACGTATAAACCTTTACCCATTTAACACAGTCAAGCAAACAGATGAAACATTCACATTGTTATTCAGATAGATTTTAGAGATTCAAAGGAGATTATGGCTGTGATAAGGGCATTTGTTGCCATATAGATATCACTTCTTATGAAATATTTGCAATGTTAGTTATTTTGTACTTTTTGAACTTTTCATTGCAAGTCTGGAGATTTCACACATTCCACTGCAGTGTGTTTAATATGTATATCATATATGTCTCATTTACAATTTCTGATGTGTAGATTTTGATAAGAAAGTCATAAACGATAGGTGTCATAGATCGGGGTTGATATAGATCAATGGTCACATTTCTAGACAGTCTTTCAGTAAAATGTCAGATCCTGTAATGAAATTAAATGTCATGATTTATGTTTCAGATTTATAAGTGGGGATGTTACCTATGAGAAAAAATTACAATCATGGAAAAAGCACTTTTGGCAGAGATAGATACGTGTCACTTCCTGTAGAAATGTCTGTCTGACCCCTTATACTGACCCCTCTCTTGGGTAAACACATTGATATTTTCCTCTCATATTATATTTGCTCTGAAATATATCCTGCTTAGTACATTTGTATTATTCATGTCTGCTTTGTTAATCCAGAAAAAAAATCACCCCAATTATAGGAGGTATTTGTTCATTCAGAAATGGAGAATGTTATTTCCTGGATTTACAATTCTCATATATACAATTAAAGGCCAAGTTAAATGTACAATAGATAAGGAATTGTAAATCCAGCAGATCACTGTATCTCCATCAACTTGTTTGTTACTTAAGTCCATCAACTTGTTTGTTACTTAAGTCCAACTTGTTTATACTTAAGACACCCTAAATTTATGCAAGAGTTTTCTTCCATATTGATCCTGCAGTGTTAATTATTTCATAATGTTTTTTGTCAATGATTTTCTGCTAAGCATGTAACTTAAATTGAAGCTTTTGTACAGTTTTGTTGATTTGTATGAAATTTTTGAAAATAGACAGGGAATGATGAATGATACAGTATTACAGTATTTTGTGCTTTCTTCATTGCATCCTGACTTCACTGTATGATAACATCTGTTGACTGAACACAGGCTCTAGTTTTAATAGTGAACTTAAGTCAAAGTCTTATGGTGCTCAATTTTTGCTGGTAAAATAAGATATTGCAGGAGATGAAGAAGGTTTACTTCACAATGGACTTAATTTTTAGTCATTTACAACTTGTCATTGTGAATGTTGTAATCAATCTTAAGATTGTTTTATGTATATACTATTAATTTATCATACTACTTGAAATAATTGTGATATTTTTTTTTTTGGGGGGGGGGGTAATAAATAGACTTGTTCTCAGAAACAAAACCAATAATGAATGTTATGTAAAAATATGTACACAAGCCACTGTATTCTTTTTTTAATCAAATTTTTTTTTAAAAATTGTCGAGATAATGCCGTAAATACATGTATTTGAAGGAGCCAGCATGAAAATGTGTAATATGTGTGAGCCGTTTAATAATTGTAAAATATGTCTCTTCATCTATCAGTTTAGCTGTTCTGCTTTTTGAACACTTTTATGTGACCCAATTAATTGAGTATCTTTCAACTTTAAGACTTTAAATGGAAAAGGATTAAAGGAAAACACTTACTTTGTTTTGGGTCACTAGGTCAAAGGCAAAGGTCAAAAAGACAATTGCATTGACCATTTCATGTTTACCTTGTGCAATATATGTGATTTGAATCATTCTTCTAACTCACTGACTTTTTACTTTACATTTTATACTACAAAGAAAAATGTTACCTTTAGATTTTGGAACATTAATTTGGTTAAAGGCCAAGGCCAAAAGTAAAAAAAAAGTTATTTTTTTTTTGTGACTGAGATACATCCTGCATACATTATAAATTGTCTTCCTACTTAATATACAGATCAAGGCTATTTTATTCAACATCACTTCAACAAAGATCCATTACAAAGGGTGATGACTATTTTAATATGGCCATTATATGTAGTTAATGCAATATATAAGTCAGTGTTAGAGTTAATACTTCATTCTCATCAAGATTCGTTTAGAATGTTAAGGTCGTAAGTCAAAGGTCAAGGTCAAAGTTCATGTAAATTGTAGGGGAGCAAAAAAATTGTTGTGCATACTGCAACATGAAATCTTCACGTTCACAAAACTCTGAGACCCTTTCTCAAATGTCAAACTGATGAAGATTACTTAATTAAGTACACTGTGGGACCCTCTTTGACCTTGTTAGTGTCCCAGCAAAAATGAAAATGGATGTCAAACTGTAATTTAAAAATATTTTCTTTGTTTGTTATTGTTTCTTTATGATTCAATATCTCAAGAATTATTTTTCCTAAATTTGCTGCTGTCAAATTATATTAGTGAGAAGTAATAAATGAAAAAAAATTCTCTGATTTTATTAAAATTGAATTAGATGAGATCATGGAGATGCAATGCTATAGTAATATGCGGTTTTTTTTCCAAAGGTCAAGCGGCGCATGGAATGGGGTGATTTCATTTTTCTCAGATAAGCGTGCGCCGAATTGCGCCGGTCTTATATTCCCAATAATGATCAATTAATTTAGATCTACGACTAACATTATTTGCGTTGTATCTAAGCAAAATAAAGTAAATAATCTCTGTCGTTGATCAACTTTGAAAATAAATAATCTGTCCTTGAATTGCATGAAAATACTAGTGTATAATCTGACTCGAGAAATTTTGTGCCCCCCCCCCATCAGCATCAAATTGTATTCCCCTTAGATGCAAACAAAGAAGATGCCGATTTATAAATAAATATATCTTCCCCGACTTATTTCTAAAACCGGCGAATTCTTCGCATTTTATTCCAAACCGGCGAGATCGGCATACACCGGTGAACCCATCCGGTTAAGGTAGTCCGATCCTCAGGTTCTGAAAATCAGGCATTGGATAATTGAAAATGCTCACAAAAATGTCTCCGAATTTTCAAAGTAATGTGAATTTACCCACAGTAGTTGTTCAAACTTCATCATTAAAGTAAATCATATTATATAGAAAAAATTAGTAAATCTCAAATAAATTTTCAGGAAATGCGAATAAAGACACCTACTATGCATTTTCTAATTGGAAAGTGATCAACAAAACATTTTAGGATGAAAAAAACTATAGGTATCCAGCCATATGAAGAAAATTGCATGATTTTTATACTTATACAGTACTTTAGTTTTTTCTGTGTACTTCAATTATTTTATAATGCATAGTTTATAAAGTGTTTCCTATCATTGCAAAACACCATAAATCATTTCTAATTCCATATCATGCTAATTAGCATCTGGTATCTAAGGCTAAATTAAAGGAAAAGTGGATTTCTTTAAATCTGTATTTTTAACATACCATAATAGGGTAAATATATCAACGTTTTAAGAGACTGTTTCTAAAACTTCAAAGAACCTTGAATCGCATGAAGATTGTTGTATGCAAAGATTTCATATTTAAGCTTCATTTTGACACTTTTTGAATTTAATTATAAAATAAAGAGTTATCCTTCTTGGCCGAGGATCGGATATCCTTAAATGAAGCGACAGTCTCGGTTACCAAAGATTGGCGGCGCATTCGGAGTACGCTGGCTTGACAAATGAAATCTGACCAATTAATGCCACCTAGATTTTGGTGAGTAAATTTCTACATAGTATGATTATCATTATGTCAAAGTCCCATGATTTTGTATTTAGTAAACAATTGAAGGTTACTGTTTTTTTGCCAAATGTGATTTTTAAATTTTTTTTAAAATTAATTTTTTACCACACACACACATAGTCGATTATCGACACGGATGGTTAGATACTATTTTTTCTTCGTACATGTAATTGGGAGGTTTTAATTAATTTTTGGATAATTGTGTCGTTCTGTGAGAGGTATCGAGAATATCAAGTCTTTAAATTGAGTTGTGGAACATAGCCTGTTATATTTTCGATATTTTGTTGTATAAAGATGACAGGAAAAATGAATTTTGATCATTCTGTTGCAGGGCTATAGACTTCATTAGATTTAGATACCGAGAAGTCAAAACGGTTGCCATGATAGTGTGAAGCAATTCGAAACTAAGTCGAAACCTATAAAACTAAAATAAACTGATACTGAATTGTCCTGAAGGGTTTTGGATTTGGTGGCGAAAATTTTTGGGAAAAGAACAATTTTTTATGAAAATTTCAACTCATTCCTAAATCAGGACAATTTCATGTATATCTTCGTGTCTTTCACAATATTCACATATATTTGTCTTAAAACCCTGGCTTATCAGTTGTAACAGCTGTGTAAGCAAATTATTGTGGGATTTACCAAGGCAGCAAACATGAAGTTAATAATTCCACTGATATTCTCAGGTTTGTAATTTGCACAATTTAAGGATCAATGATTGTCTAGACCAACGTCAGAGCTTTAAAAAATGTGCTAACAAGATGATAAACAAATCATATTACATAACTCTTATACAAGAAATTGTGGCTATTAACGGTGTCTGAGAGGGGGTGCCAGCAGACGCCTGACCCCCACATTCTGACAATATCTATGTACGTGTCTTACAGAATGTATGATGATAATTCAGAAAATGGAAAGATATATATATATATATATATATATATATATATATATATATATATATATATATATATATATATATATATATATATATATATATGTGTGTGTGTGTGTATGTATGTATGTATGTATGTATGTATTGAATCAATATAATTAGTATAAATCCCGCACCCAATAAAAGACTTCAGATGAAAAATAATTTCCTGACACTCCAACCCACTTCCAAATTTCTGTATCTACTTCTTAAAAATATTATCTATCCATTAAATATGTTCATGTGCGTCTTGATCATTAATTCTATGTAGTTATTTTACATTTAGTGTTTACAGTATGCACTATTATGGCGGCCCCTAAAACCAGAGGGATGTGTCTTAGTCTCTGTGGCAAGTATGGGGTGGACTGTCCCTCGGGGTACGAGTGTCGAAGCAATGGATGTGGTCACGAATGTTACAGACCTGCTAACTATGTCGTTCCCGAGGGTAATCATCTGTTTGGTCTTCATTTTTATTCCCCAGCCTTTAAATATTTTGAGACACCTTTCTTTTTTTCTTAGTAACACAAGGTATTTTGAAGATTTGATATGCATTTGCACTACGTGATCAACTAAAAATTCTACTTTGATGCTTAAAAATGTAACAATATCAAACAGCTGAGGAATTATTTTATATATGTCGGCTTTTTCTGTCGCTAAAGCTTTTTTTGTGTCGATTTTTAACGTAATGTAATAGTCCTTTTTTTTCTAAGAAATATTTATTGATGGGACACAGAGATAGACCTCGACAATCCAATAAAACTCGATCATTGCCGTATGGCGTTAAGGTTCATCATCCATCTCCTCGCTCATATTTTTTTCCCTTAACGCATTTTCAACATACCTTGCGGAACAAAATACGACAAGAATAGCCTTATAACTCGACACATTACATAGGAATAATACACAGGTACTTGGGTCTTGGTTTGTAAATATTTATACCTTATTAATATGTCGGAGGTCAATATTGTTAATTTTTCTGGTGAATATCAAGCCATATTCACACCCAAAACAGTCCATATAATCACTCTTTTTACATATCAATAAGATATACATATTTATAAACCAAAACCATGCCAAAACCCAAGTATCTGTGGAATAAAGTATGAGTTATCTCTCATATCAGAGGGTCAGTGAACCTTAAACAGTTTTCATTGCATTGTACATTTTAAGTCGAGATCGAATCATTATATATGTACTGATGTAATAACATTTTAGTTCTTACTTTGAACTACATGTATATTTATTTTAAATCTATAGGCGTTATTTAATATACAATTATAGCCTTTTGATGAGGTCAATCCCTAGATATATAGACCTTAGAGAAAGCATATCGATCGAGCACGAAGTGCGAGGTCAATATGCTTTCTCTAAGGTCTAAATATTTGGGGATTGTACCGAATCAAAAGGCTACAATTGTTTTATTATTTTTTTTAATCAGTAAAATCCATGTTTTTAATGCTCAATACTTTCTCATATAAGCCATTGTAATGTCATTCGCATTATGACGTCACAGTTAAGAGCAGCTGCAGTATTTGTTTTAGAAACATCCATTTTATAAAGACTTTTGTGACGTCAGCACTATTGTTGCTTCATAGAAGAACGTTTCCAATTTTAGAAACAGCAGGTTTATAATTTTTTTTTAGAAGCTTAAAATAGAAACACCCAGTTTATAACACTTTTTATATTATATCATGTGATCTAGTTTGAGCCAATCAGATAGCTGGCAATAATACAGAAAAATCAAAAAATATTTTAACGAGACTATCTTTTATTATATGATTGAATAATTCCTTTCTCTCTGATTGGCTGAGATCCAACAATGTAGAAAAAATACTATATTATATTCACCTGCACGTGACCTTCCAGGTGAATATATAAGGATTTATTTTTTCCACACTAGACTAAAAATAGATTGGGAAATTCCAAAATTGATGAAAATAGTTTTGGAAAGTTATTTCATGTGCCACTGACTTCCACTCATGATATGAACATAACATTTATTGGCACAGATTCTTGGATGAGGGTCGAGTATGGGAGGGTAGGGCAGTGCCCTTCGGGCTCGGTGAATATTGTATCTTATGTGTCTAAATCATCGTATTGACCTCTAAAACCAGCAATAATTGTATACTGTCTTCTGCTCTAGGTTGTACTCCACTTCATTGTGACCATCACTGTCCACTCGGTTACCAGGTTGATGATTCCGGATGTGACGTCTGCGCATGCGATTATTCCGCTCTCTCGCACTCCATGTAATTTTAATATTCAATTGATGCTATGATCATATGAATAAATAACTCATATATCTTCAGAATTGTATTTCCACACATGAATGGCTAATTCATGTTTTCAGGTAAAGTTTTTGTTGTTTAATTCTATCATGCCTGGATAGAAATGAATCATTAATTGAAATATTACATGTACCATGGTCCCAGACTTTATCATATTTAATTTGCATATTTTTAATTACAGTATTTAGAGGACCGTATTCCAGGAGCTTCTAAATCATTCATGAGAAAAATAATAAGTCATCGATGTTTGTAGATGATCCAAATAAATTTGATGATCGAAAAGGGATGTTATTTTCCGTATAAGTGGTGTCTTCTTCTTGTTTTTACACGTGAACTATGAATAATTAAAGCCGGTGTTCACTTTAATCATTTCTCTGTAGTCTTATGTAATCCGCGCGCTGATTCTTGATTTGCGTGACATTGACTTTACAGAAATGATGATCCTAAACTTCAGTGTTCCTGATAGAATTTTCTATATTTGATGTATTTGCATGGAAATTGAAACCATACAAGCCTTTCTCTGCAGATTTCGTTTTACAGTAATTTTCAAATAGGTCTACAGATCAGTTTTGAAGGAAGCGTAGTAGATTACTATCTATAGGAGTATGAATATTGGGTAGTAGTTGATGTGCGAATGGAATTGGTATCTTTTTTTTTAATTCAGTATTGAAAATCGATATCAGTTCAAAATTATTGTATTTTTTTTTAGGGAAAATAAAAAAAATGTTATGGATTCAAATAAGACATTTTAGAGTTTAAAAGAGCTAGAGTCACAAACCATCGAAATGTGCCTTCACTCAAAAATTAACGAGGATTTCAATATAGATAGTGAAGACTTTTAGCTTTACATTACTGTTTTTCTTTTTTAAATATTATTATTTTCAAGAAGAGATTTTTCAGTAGGGTATTGTTTTGATTGAAATTTGCGTAAGAAACGTCATTATTTGTAACGTATTTTAGTCATTACGTTACATCGCAACGTCGTTAAAAATTTATATGAATACATTTATATATTTAAAATTGAAATAGACAAGTATCTTTTAATTCAGGGACGTATTATAGTTTTTTTTCAAAATTAAGGGGGGGGGGGGCAAAAGTCAAAAAACGAACGAACAAACAAACTACAACAAAAGAAAACTACCAAAACTAGGAAACCTATTTCCGTATATGAAAGTTTTCTGTTTATAAAAATCTGCAGCGAAAGTCAAGTATGGTTTTAATTTCCATGCAAATAGATCTAATAAAGAAAATATATCGGGAACAATAAAGTTTCTGTGCTGTCCGATCAATGTCACGCGAATGAAGAATCAAAAGATTGCATAAGACTATAGAATTTAGTGAACACCAGCTTCAATAAATTAGAGTTAAAAAAAAAAAAGGAGGAGCCAAGCGCCCACTCCCTGAGTTGTTAGATAAGCCACCTGATGTGAAAATTATTAAATACACTAATCACATTCTAACTTTTTCCTGACGGTTTTTAGTTTGAAACGCATGTATAGTGGCGCTAAAACCCAGGAGTCAGGAAAACGACACCGAGATCCGAAATTTATAGAACACTGCCTATCTCTCGCAGTAGCAGAGATATAATGTTTACCTTTCCAGTACGTCCCATAGGATCAGGATTTAATTAAAACTATACCACAAAAAATAGGAAAGCAGAAAACTAATTAAGAACAATCCCAGCAAGAACCCTTGACACAAAGTCAACCATACTGATCATGGCGGAGGTATCGTAAGACATCCAATTATCTCTTAGTGCATAAACCTTTTATAGTGATATATGCTAATCTTTTTATGAAGACTTTATTGAAATAACGTTGAAAGAAAAACCATGTCAGCACTATTTGCCATACCTTTAGTATTTGTTCTTGAATAATTATGATGTTCCGTTGGGGACACTCGCACCTTAGAACTTTCGCCTTTAGGGCGAAGATGCGAGAGTGCGAAGTAGCAAAGGCGAAAGTGCGAAGTTGCGAATTAAGTTTTTAAGTTTCTAATTGAAGCTGTAAAGCCATGTGCTTTTTTTTTATTTGCAAATTAAAATGTATATATAAAAGAGTAGACTCTGATTTTGGATATGCTAAAAATAAATGCAATATACACAATTTAAGCGAGTTTTCAATGATGGGCGATTTTTATTCGAGTAGGGCGATTTCTTATTCGAGTACAGCGAATTTTCCTAAAGGCAAATTGTCCTAAGAGTGAACTCTGCATTCTGAAGTATGCGCACATCGCATCCGGTTTAACCTCGCTTATATATTTTCTGCGTGTATCTCACGATCTACGCAGACTGACTCACAGACAAGGAGGCGGACGGACAGACGGAGAGGAAACCTGTAGTCCCATCCGGTTTAAAAACATTTTTTTTAAAAAGGGGGGTCTGAGCACAAATCAATGAGAGGAAAAGAAAAGTGTCCTGTCTTCGATGGCTAGGGTCTGTGTAATGGGGTTGGGATGGGGGCTCATGTAACAGCAAATAAGGTGATATGTTCAATCAATCAGATAAGAACATGTAGTTGTCAAAGCGTCAAACTTTATCCTATCCAAATTTGTTGCTTTAAACTGCAGCAAAAAAAAGGGATGGGCAGAGGCCCTCTGGGTCTCTTTTTTTTAATTTCATCTTTAGAAGTGGAAGAGTGTTTCTTCTGCTCCTTGATTTATAAATATGATGAACGCGGTTCATTCATAAAATCACAAACTTTCACATGATAATGTCCATGTTACACTCCTGGTCGTCCGGTATTTAGTACATGTCGTGTAGATATATAATGTATCTATTATTTTCCTGGTTTTAAGTACGCTCACGTTATACAAACAGGATACGAGGATTCTCTGACTTCCTGATGGTAAACTTATATCGCCATAATGAAACAAAAAAATGTACCTCGTATGTCAACAAAAGTAAGGTTGTAGATATGAGGTGAAATCTAGGAAAGTGGAGATTATCATGAATACTAGAGGTTCCTCGGCTAAGTATCAAGTCTTGGAATCCTCTAGTCTAAAATGTTGCATTGTGGGAGATACAAAGTCTGGCAAGACAGCCCTCGCCTTTCGTATCCAGGCTCAGGAATTCAGGGCCGACTACTCTGCCACTTCTTTTGATAACTATTCAGGTAAACTCTTTTATTTTCTTAATTATTTAACGCCAAAAAATTGATATATTTTATTTTTTTTTAAATTTGAATGCAGTAATGGGCATGGCGAGAGGTTGGACTTTTATTTCCGCAATTCATTGTCGGGCCTAGTGTACACTACAAATAAAAAACCGGCATATTTAATCATTAAGGGGGAAAAGTTTGTTAAACATACGTCGATTTATAAAAATACATGATTAATATTGCAGAAAAGATGTTAGCTGTGAAGGCGAAACACAAACGATCATCGGTGATTGACTTTAATTAAAGCCTTTTCTCTTCCTGAAATATCGTCCTCCACATCCCCCCTTTCCCCCGAGATTTATAAAAACGATTTAGTGGTGGTGTCTTGAAAGTGTTTATATAAAAAGAAAGATTTTAATTTTCTTGTATAACAAAGACTCTGTGATGTATTAATTTGGTAACATCGACTGACTTGCTATGAATTAAAAGTGCCCCGTCCCCGTGTGTGTGTGTTCTCGATTTTAGCTCATATCTTCTCAGATATAAGATAAGATATATAAAATAAAAAATAAATATTAGCCAATGTTCTAAACAAAAAATATGAACTATGATATTTATTTGCCATATTTTGCAAAATTGGAGAATTTGATAAATTGGACATTTGGAAGCTTACACTTTGAATATGTTCATTTCAGCTATTCATGTACCTTTGATTTCATTGTCTAATCTTTTGATTCTTTTATACCTGGTATGAACCTGATATTTGGAGACATGTATAAGTAAAGTCTTCAATCTTTTTTTAACAACGAAGGTCATGGTCAAACTTTAAAGACCATCGAATTTTTCTTAGAACGCAAAAATATCTGAAACACACATGTAGATTTTCTTCACACAATAGTTCAATAGTTCAATTTCTAAATCATTACAAGTATTCTGTTAAATTTTTCTAAAAATTTGAATTAAATATCTTTTTTTCCTAACAAAGAAGATGGGTGAACAAGGCGTGCTGAATGCCATTAGCTTCAGATATTAAAAAAATCATATTCAATTTGTGAATAAAGTATTTAAAGTAAAGTTCTCATCATTGAAATTTATGAAATTATGATCAACAATTTTTTTCTGAGAAAAAAAAATTCTTTTATTTAAAAGAATAAAATGGTATTCGTGGGATTTGAACCCCTAACAATACATCCGGAGTATCATATTGCTTTGAGACTAAGACACTAACCACTACGCTACACAGCTCCTGAGGAATAGTGGTATTTAATCATGTTTATGATATGACCCTTGACTTTATCGACTTCAAGTATTTCTCGGAAAGATGAGAATGCTTTGTCATAAAAGTGTACTTTCAAGGTATAGTGAGTCTCTGCTCCATTTTTTTGTTAGCTAAAAAATGTATATTTTTATGCAAACTTTTAGGATTAACTTTCAAAAAAATGGAGCAAAGACGCACTCATATCGAAAAATTTTGTTAAAGTATGAGAAAATGATCCTTTTTGCTCTCTTTAGTGTGTGTATGCTATTTCGTAGGCAAATAATTTCAGTCTTTGTGAGATTTTTGTAAATTGTAGAGATTTTACATAAAGTATACTTTAATTTTAGATGAAATATCAAAGAAAATTTTGATATTATTGAGATTTTATTTTTCACTTCATGTTTGTCGCACTATAGGCACTTCGCCCGCCTTGTTCACCCATCTTCTTTTATAGTATAGCACAAAGCTATGTATATTCCATTTTTATATCATAGTGCACACAAATACATGTATATTCAACTGAGTTTTAGTAACAAATAGCCCCCCTTTATAATCAAATAGCACCACAAACATTTGTAATATAACAGATTAAAGATAATTTTGAAGCACATCTAATTTTGAATGTCTGATTTCACCATCCTCTTTCTGAGGTTTGAAATGCTGTTTTTGAAAAACTTTGTCGACAAAAAAGACTGCGCAGTAATTTTGTTTGCGAGATTTTCCACAACATTTAAGAATAATAATCATCAGAGTTTTCCACATTGTTGTCCAGAATGACTAATTAAGCTGTTAATCTTTTTATAAAATTGATAATTAATGCTGAAAATGATTAATAGCCTTTAGCTGCATGTACATCAATGAAATATTAATGTTACAATTTATTTTAAGGACACGTCCCTTTTCCTTCCAAATCCCCAGTCCACCAATTATACCGGCAAAGCTAAAACTGATAGCATTCCAGAAAAAATGTTAATTTCACACTTGATTTCCTATGTTAGTTGATAAACATACTCAAACAAAAATTGTTTTGTTTGAAAAAAATAATTACATCTTACAGTTTTAAGTGAAGCTCTTGAATTTCCAGTTTCCTTATACGATGCTGAATGCTCTTTGATCCGGTTTTGTTGCTATATCAAAACTTGGCTGTACGATGGCGATCAACAAATGATTTTCATAATTGAATTAAAAATCTAGTATTTTCTTCATTTTTATATAGATTTTCTGACAATTTATTTGCATGAATTAATTGTGACAGTTCCTTATAGAATCATCAGTTTGGTCTGAGTTGCCGAAGACATGTCTGCTTTGGTGGACTTGCCTTCTATCGTGGCAATATTTCACTTACTGTACATGTTTCTAGAACGCTTCTGGAAATTTATACGTAATATTTCATCATTTAGTAAACCATTTTTAATCAAACGGCATTTTTAGAAATATATTTATTATAAATGTGTAGGCAACATAGAAGCTAGGGCAGAGAATATAGGTGTGATCTTAAAACTCGTTTTTCATTTTATTTATTCTGACACTATAATCATCGGCGTAATTTTCTTATCGTCCACTCGGTGCCAAAAACCCCGACAGAGTATCAAGGAATATAGTATTTTATCGTTTTATGAACACGATTTGAAACCAATTTCTAAATAGGAAAGGGAGTATGGTGTTACATAGAAAATCTGACAAAAATATATATATATATTTTGGAATTACTCATGATTATGATAAAAAACGACAACTTGTGTCTATTCTTTCCATATTTTTTATATTTTGCAGTCACATCAATGGTTGATGGTACGCCATATCATCTTAGTTTATTTGACACAGCTGGAAATGTAAGTCAATTTGATAAAATCAAGCAGTTCTTTACGACAAGATTCCGTTGGATTCCCCATGTTAATTAACGTTTATTCTTTGATTTACAATAGCACGATATGGTCCAGCTTCGATCTCTATCTTATGACAAATCAGATGTTGTGCTTGTATGTTTCTCGTTGGCGGATCCTGTCATGTTTGTGAATGTGGAGAAATTCTGGGTGAATGAGATCCGCTCCTATCTTCCACATACCCCCTTTCTGCTTGTTGGTACTCACTTGGATCTAAGGGACCAACGATCTAGTGTAAGCTTTCCTTTTGAATTATATATAATAGACATAAACATATTAAAATATTAGTAATGGTCACAATCACTTCATAATGCGACAGAGTAATGATCTTTTTTTTCAAGTATCAATTTCAAATTTTCCCTTTAAACTACAGCAGAAAGTACTTTAAGTTTACCATAATACCGCACACGGAATTATATACTTTTGATATACTTTTAGACAGCAGGAGACAATCTCGTTGTTTCAGACATTGTGATTCCAAGAACACGTGTTTCGGATATGGCAACTCGTCTTGGCACTGCTGGGTATGTAGAATGTTCCTCTAAAACTGGCGAGGGGATCGAAGAATTAATAAAAGAACTTGTAGTGGCTGCCCACTTCCGGCCAAAAGAAAATACGACAAATGAATGTTGCTGCTCTGTGATGTGAACTTAAATGTTAAATAGTGTATGACTTTATCAAACTTGTAAATAAATAAATAATTTATGTGAATAGATAACCAGAAACTGGTCAACACAAATGTGATTTTTTTTGTAATTATACAATTTCAGGATATTCTGAACACAAATGTATACAAGCAAATTGCTACCGAGTATGCTGATCAGTGAGAAAAGAAAAGAGGCTTTGATAGCGTTTGATTACCGATAATATGTTCGGCGGTCTTAGAATGTGTAGTAATGAGTCCATTTAGAAATTTGCGCCTAAATAAGGCGAGATGATGAATGTTATAAAACATTTTGTCAAGATATTCACAACAGAGATGATTAAGCATGGATTTTCATTCCACTCTATAGAGAATGGAATGGTGAAGGTGTTACAATGTGTCATCGTAAAAGGTCGCCAGCTTCACATCTAGCGATATTTAGAATGCATGCGACTTGATAAATGTGTCAATATAGTACTTAGTTCGAGTATTCTGCATTAATTTCGCGTGTTATTCTCAAAATTTGTTCAATAATAAAAAAAATTGAACATAATCAAACGAATTTTGAGAAAACGAAGTACATTTGTATTACATGTATATCAAATTACAAGGTTCGTGAAATTTAATATTATACCCCACCCCACCCCGCCCCATCCCACCCTTGTGCAATAGATTAAGTTCAGTAACTAAATTAATAACAAATAAAATGCAGTCAAATAAAGCCCACAAGAAGATGAAGTTTACTAAAAGTGATTTTTTTTTCAGTTATGCATTTAACCCCACCACATCAGTCAGATATCATGCATGTCCATAATAAGCACATTTGACACACGGTTTCTGAGTGTTATCATTATTTTTTATTTTACAAGGATCTTTCAGTAATGTTTGTTCCAGGTAAAGGACGTTTTTTTTAATTTCTTAACGATTTTATAGTCAAATCAGCTGATAAATGAACATTGTGATGCATCAAAAAACCGCTTACTGCACTGGTGTTCATTCATAATTATGATAGATCCAATTTGGTACTTTAACAATAAAAGGTAGCTCATTCTCCATAGAATGAGAAACGACATATCGCTAGGAAACAATTTTTAAGGGTTTAACAGAGTACTTCATTTTCAAAAGAACTTACGGCTAAAGCCCCTATTTCGCTGTTGCAAAATTAATTATACAGTTAAAAATTTCCTGCATACGAATACCTTTTAAAATTCATGTATTTCATATATATTTTTTTTTCGCAAAATTACTTTTTGGTCTTAGTCGTACGTTAATTTGCAAAACGGAACCCTCGCACTTTGAAATACGAAAAGACAAAATTAACAACGAAACACGGACATACGTAGGCAGATTCCGGCATTTTTAAAACCACTGTTGTTGCTACTTGATAGAAATATTGTTAAAACGATTGAAGTGCTTCTGGAGATAAACATTGATTCTGAATCATACAGTGTATAGTTTTGTAAAACTGTGTTCGTGACTATCAACATCAGACACCATATTAACATGCTTCATCTAACTTCAAAGTCCACTAAAAAAGGACTATCTCTGGTATATGTCTGGGAGATCTTCAGGTCCGGGGCTAGAAAAAAAAAAATCAAAAATCTCCAAAGAGAGAAGAAAAATTGAATGATGATGAGACTTAGTGTTAAGAATGCTGTCGTTCTATTCCCAGTAATTTCACCCCCCCCCCTCCGCACCTCCCGCAAAGACATTAGACGAATGGATATTCAACTTTAATATGCATGGTTTAATGATTTGGGGATTATTTTGAAGAGATGAATTAATGAAGAATTACAAATTAGGACTATGGACTAAAATAGCGAACATCCCTACGCAGAGAATTTTGATCAGTAATTAATCTGACTTTCATTTATAAGTGGTGCCTATTTCCCGGATACTTCTGACGTTTTCTCCGTGAGTAACCCGTCCCTGTAGGAGAAACCCAGTGAAGGTCGGCAGATTGTTCTGGTAATGTATTTTTTAAAATTACTTCACGAGTTTCACTGCACATCAGTAGCGAGAAAGCACTTCAAACACTTCCCATAGAAGGACTTTATTTAGCATGTGCAGGGTTTGAACGTATGTGTAATTGTAATTATCAAAATGTATTTCCCCCGTGTTTACAATGTTTATTTGACTAGATGATAATAATTATAGATGTACTGATTTGACATCAAAGAAGGTAGAATGATGTCGTGTTTTGATATCTTTATTGCTGTCTCCAGCGCAATGCAGGAGTCAGCATTCTCTACAGAGACGACGAATATTTACTCAAATTTCCACTGTGAGTACAAGCTACGCTTCGCTCACAAAAAAAATGAAATTGAAGCCAATCGGTTATGATGAACTGTTTGCAATTGAAACTGAATATAACGAATGTTTATTTATAAATTTAATACAAATGGTAATAAAATTTATAGACATCTAATGCTCATTTATTTTACAGAATTAGAGCGGTGGTAAAATTCTGTGGATTTGAAAATACATGAACACCTTGCTATATTTTATGTTTGCAAACAAACTGAGTATCGCGTTAGCACATCTTGAAAATGTTTAGACATCTATGCAAAAAAGATATTTATTTATTTTCATTCTTTTATCACTAAGTGTTTTGAAAGATACGTTGAAAATCTGTTTTCTCAAACAGTTTATAATTTTATTTCATGTTTGGGTTTAAAGCATATACATCCATTGAATATTTTCTCTTTTCATTTCTTAGGAAAACCGATGGTTGTTTATTTGAAGCAATGAACACAATTTACGTCTGTAGAAGCCACCTGTATAAAAAGACTTTTTAGAAGTTCAATGGTCGTTCTTCCATCAATGTAACGTACGGATCTATTATACAGTTTACGTACTTTTATATGTTTAATAAAAAGACATATAAATATAAACAATAAAAATGCCTTGCTTTCTTTATTTATACCGGCAAGGATAAACAGTTCAAGATTGCAGAACAAATATACATTAGCCGGCTATGTAATTTTGCTGCAATGTTGCAACCGTTTGTTTATGCACTGGATTACTAGAATTATTTTTGGATGTCGTCAGTCGTATAACAGCTCCTGGCCGTGCCGACAAATTGTTTGTTTGTTTGTTTATTTTTTGTTTTTTTGTTTAACGTCCCTTTTGAGAATTTTTTCGCTCATATTGAGACGCCACCACTCGCCGGTGGAGGACTGCAAACTTATACTAAGCACCGAGGGCCATTGAGCAGTGAGGGATCTTTTTTGTACCAGCACCTACTGCGACACGGGACCTCGGTTTAAACGGTCTCATCCGAAGGACCGGTCTTTATCTCCGACAGTGGGATTCGAACCCGCGACGTGAGGATCAACTGCTATAACCACTGCGCCACGCGGGCGACGCCGACAATTGGAATACAATAACATAATAATATGTATGATACAGTATGAACAGACAGACTATCAAAATACCAGGAAGAGTTTTGGAAAATAGTTTGTCATAATCAAAGCCACCAATCCAGGATAGAAATACTTGTATTTTTTTTTCAAGAAATGATATAGAGATCGTCTCTTATTTTGTCAAATATCGATTATAAAAATGAAGTTTATTTGGTGCAAACTAAATGGGTGTTTAATGATACCATTTTTTATTGAGCATTATGTAAGGCAGGCATTATCGTTTTAAGAGCTTACATTGTAACTGTGTTTGACACATCATGTCATTCGAATATAAATATTAAGTTCTGAACAGTTATGACAAATTTGATGCAGCAGATGTAAATACAGTTTATGTAATGCTTTTAAACTAGCGGGGGAGTTGACTGAAGGGAATTAAAGCTGTCAAAATTCAGCAAGTGTAAATAGTGTGGGGGACCGTAGAAATGTCAAGACCAATATAGGTAATATGTTGACAAATCAAGGATAAGGAATTCGATAGAGAATTCTTTTAAAAAAAATCATTGTATTTTTATCTATTAGAATACGTGACAGAAAAACAGCTTTCTGGTTAGACCGAGATAAAATACGAATAGCTACACATTTACATGACTTTTGGGAGTATACTGTATAGCTTTATACATCACGATAGAATGAATTCCGGGAAAAAAAGGACCTACATTTAAATTTTATGAGGCAGTACTTATAATACATATATACACACACAAACGCGCACATGTTTGGATTTGTCAATGTCGAGCAGGTGCAGGTACTTTGAAATCATAACCAGCCGAAGGTCGGGCATTGGGATTTTTTTTTACATATAAGTATTCATTCTCTGTATTTTCCTGTATTAAAAGAATTGAAAACTTTTGCAGTCTGATCAGGCCGAGATTCAACTACATTAATGATGATGAATTGCTTATCAAGCTAAGTACGTTATCTCAGCGAAAATTTCCTCGGCATTGAAAAATCAGAGCAGTGATTATATAAGAAGGCTCAAAGCACAATGACCGAAATACATATTTCTATATATATATATATACATGTAGTCTATATGCATGTTTGAATAGGATTTTATCAGTGTTTTACAGACTTCATGTTTTCTCATGGAATTGTACATGTGCTGAAAAAAGCCATAATGTATCTTCACGTCCATATCCCTGTTCCAATCCAATAAGATCGCCAGATTTTTGAACTGCATGCACAGTACTAGTGTATGTATTGCTGTTTAAATGTCCTGCTCATTTTTGAATGCCATATTTTGTTTTGTCTTTTTTTCTTTAAATTTTTACTTTTTATTCTCATAATTTGATTTGTTTTCTTTTATTTTTATTATCCTAATTTATTTATTTGAGAGTTTAAACCACGGGCATTTTGTTGTTTTCTTTCAATTGTTCCGTATTACATGAAGCTTTGACCTAAAATCTAACTGTAAATCTAAGGTTGTTATCAATATATATATATATATATATATATATATATATATATATATATATATATATATATATATATATATATATATATATATATATATATATATATATATATTTAGCATGCTTATCATTCTGTATTCTTTTAGATCTATTCTGACCAAAACATGATAGTTAATATTTAAATTTTCTGTGTTTGGGAGTTTGTGTTTGCTTCATATGGTTACAGGAAGAAAATATACAAATAACCTTGTGAAGATAT